TCTCCCGTCCTCCAGGAGCCCAAGTCCCGCTCCGCAGGGCTGCTGGCACTCAGCTCTTCTCCCGCTCTGTGCTCATGTTTGGCATCGCCCCGACCCAGGAGCAGCACTGTGCCCTTGGCCGCATTGAACCTCATTCAGTTCTCTTGGGCCCACTCCTCCTCCTGTCCAGGTCCCTCTGGATGCCGTTCCTTCCTTGGTGCAGAAGCCAGAAAACTCAAGGATGAGGAGAGCTGTGGGGAATCCCTGTGGACCCCTCCAGGGATACCTGCACCGCCTGCTCACATTGCTTCCCTAAGGTGCCAGTGTACCAACAGCACAGCACAGCACTGAGATCTGTGTTGTGACCAGAATCTCACTGCAGGCACAGAGACACTGCGGGACTCACATGACTGAAATGTTGTCGTGAATGTTTATGTTCTCCTTAGGTGAGACTGTGAAGTTGGTCTTTAAGTGAGAATAACTGAAATGTATCAAGCTCTGATGGGGATGAATGAGCGAGCAGAGAGCTGTAGGTAAGAATTAAGGGGCAGTCGTACACGGCTGACTCTGCTGTAGGTGTGTAGTACAGGACACCTGGCCAGAAGGAGCAAGTTGATGAGATCCTCTGCACACAGTTGGGAGTAGAGTTGTGATAACAGGCACTGGTTCTTCTGGGAGATGTCAAATACCCTGGAATTTGTTGGGTAAGCAATGCTGCCAGCTGCACACGGTCCAGGAAATTCCTGCAGTGCATTAAAGACGACTTTCTGATGCAGGTGGCGGAGGAGCCAATGAGCAGAGGGGTGCTGCTGGACCTTGTTCTTACCAACAAGGCAGGGCAGACTGGGGATGTGAAGGCTGGGGGCAGCCTGGAATGCAGCTATCATGAGGTAGTGAAGTTCAGGATCCTGAATGCAAAAAGCAAGGTAATAAGTAGGATCACAACCTAAAGTTGACTTTGAGAGAGTCAATTTTGACCTCCTCAAGGAACTACCAAGACGTACCCCATGGGCAAAAGCATAGCAAGGTAAGGGGGTCCATGAGAGCTGGTTGATATTTAAGCACCACTTCTTCCAAGCTCAACATAGATGCATCCCTAAGAGAAAGAAGTCAGGCAAAAATGGCAGGAGACTTGTGAGGAAGAGCAAGGAGATCATGGGAAAACTCAAAGAGAAGAAGAAAGTCTGTGAAATGTGGAAAAAGAGTCTAGCCTCCTGGGAAGTAAATAGGAATGTTCTCAGGGCCTGTAGGGACACAACAAGGAAGGCTAAGGCCCACTTAGAATGAAATACGGTGGGAGAAGTCAAGGATAAAAAGTAAAGCTTCTGGAAGTATGTCACCAGTAAAAGGAATACGAGCAAAAATGTGGTTCTGCTGCTTAAAATGAGGTTTTGGCAAAAACTGTCGACAAAGCTTTCAACACTGTTTTCCATAACTTCCTTGTAGGTAAGCTTAGGAAGTGTGGGATAGAGGTAAACTGAGAACTGGAGGGTGGATAGAGCTCAGAGCGGTGAAGAGTCCAGTTGGAGGCCTGCAGCACGTGGTGCCCCTCAGGGGGTGGTGCTGGGTCCAGACTTGTTCAGCATCTTCATGAATGATCTGGGTGAAGGGGCAGCGTCCACTCTCAGCAAGTTTACTGACAATACAAAGATGGGAGGAGTGACTGACACAGCAGAAGGCTGCGCTGCCGTTTGGTGAGAGCCGCACAGAGCAGACAGGAAGAGAGGAACATCAGGAGGTTCAACGAGGGCAGTGTAGGATCCTGCACCTGGGAGGAATACCTGCATGCATCAGCACAGGTTAGGGGCTGGGCTGCTGGAAAAGATGTCTGTTGAGAAGGACCTGGGTGTCCTGGTGGCCAACAAGTTGCCCATGAGTCAGCAGTGTGCCTTCATGGTCAAGAAGACTAAAGGTATCCAGGAGTACATTACAAGTGGGGAGCCAGCAGGTCCAGGGAGGGTCTCTGCCCCTCTGCTCTGCCCTGGGGAGGCCACATCTGGAATATCGTGTCCAGTCCTGGGCTTCTCGGTTCAAAAAAGATGGGGATCATCTCCTGTATGAGGAAAGGCTGAGCATCTCGGGACTGTTCAGCCTGCAGAAGAGAAGGCTGAGAGGGAATCTGCTTGACTGTTTATAAAATATCTAAAGCATAGGTATCAAGTGGATGGCAGCGGACTTCAGTCCTGTGCTTGCCACACAGCCCTCAGACATTTGGTTTGGTAGGAGGGGATTGCAGAAGCAACATTCCTCCCACTGCAAGCAAAGATCAGATTCATGACCACCTGAGGAACCTCAACATCCACAAGTCTCCCACTGAGACACATCCCAGAGTCCTGAGGAAACTGGCTGATAGTTGTCGAGCCCCTCACAATGATGTCTGAAAAGTTGTGGCAATGGGGCGAAGTCTCTACTTACAGGAAAAAAGGTAAGATCACAGCCATTTCTAAGGGTAGGAAGAATGACCTTGGGAACTACCAACCAAGACCAAGTCTCATCTCTGTGTGGGAAAGACCACAGAGTGGATTCTCCTGGAAGCTATGCTAAGGCACATGGAAGATATGAAGATGATGCAGGAGAATCAGTGTGGCTTCACCAGGACAAAGCATCGGTGTGGCCTGACCAACTTCTATGATGGCATCACTGCACTAACAGAAAAGGGAAGAGCCACTGATATAATCTATTTTTACTTTAGCGTGGCCTTTGACACAGTAACCCACAACATCTTTCTCCCCAGATAGGAAGTATATGGATTTGACCGGTGGATTGTTCAGCGGACGAAGAACTAGCTACAGGATCGAGTCCAGAGAGCAGCGTTCAATGGCTCAGGGTCTGCATGGAGACTGGTGCCGAGTGCTGTTCCCCAGGGGTCAGTGCTGGGGCCGATACTCTTTAATATCTGCATTGAGGACATTGACAGTGGGATCAAGTGCACCCTCAGCAAGCGTGCTAATGACACCAAGCTGTGGGGTGTCGTCAACACACCACAGGGATGGGTACCATTCAGAGGGACCAAGGCAGGCTTGAGCAGTGGGCCCGGGTAAACCTTATGAGGTTCAACAAATGCAAATGCAAGGTCTTGCACCTGGCTCGAGGCAGCTCCCACTACCGGTATGAGCTGGGGGCTGAAAGGATTGAGCACGGCCCTGCTGAAAAGGACCTGGGGGTGCTGGTGGATGGCAAACTGGACATAAGCCAGCAACATGCCCTCGCAGCGCAGAAAGCCAGCTGTATCCTGGGCTGCATTAAAAGAAGTGTGGCCAGCAGGGCGAGGAAGGTGATCCTGCCCCTCTGCTCTGCACTGGTGAGGCCTCACCTGAAGCACTGCATCCAGCTGTGGAGTCCTCAGTACAGGAGAGAAATGGACTTCTTGGTATGTGTCCAGAGGGCCACAGAAATGATCCCAGGGACGGAACACCTCTCCTATGAGGACAGGCTGAGAGAGCTGGGGCTGTGCAGCCTGGAGAGAAGGCTGTGAGGTGACCAGATTGCAGCCTCAGTATCTGAAGGGGAGCTACAGGAAAGAAGGGGACAAACTCTTTAGCAGGGTCTGTAGTGACAGAACAAGAGGAAATGGCTTCAAACTCAGAGGGTAGATTTAGGTTACATATAAGGAAACGTATTTTGCAGTGAGGGTGGTGAGGCACTGGAACAGGCTGTCCAGAGATGTGGTGGACGTCCTTGGGGACTTGCAAGCGAGGCTGCACCAGGCCCTGGGCAACCTGATCTAGCTGTGGTGTTCCTATTCATCAGTGGGGGGCTGGACTGGATGGCCTTCAGAGGTCCCCTCCAACTCTAAGGACTCTATGATTCTATGATTCAAAGAGGTGTGCGGTGACAGGACAAGGGGCAATGGGTACAAACTGCAGCATGGGAAATTCCATATAAAGACAAGGAAGAACTTCTTTACCACAAGAGTGCCGGAGACCTGGGACACCCTGTCCAGAGATGTCGTGGCGTCTCCTCCCCTGGAGACAGCTAAGAGCCGTCTAGATGCCGACTGCAACCTGCCACAGGGAACCTGCTCTAGCAGTGGGTGGGAATCACAGGCATCCGTTCAGGCTGGAAGGAGCAGCGCTTGAGAGCAGCTCTGCAGAGGATCTGGGGGTCCTGATGGATGAAAAGCTGAACATGAGCCAGGAGTAACAGCTCCGAAAGCAAATGGGATCCTGGGCTCCATCAGCAGAGGGGTGGCAGCAGGGACAGGGAGGTGATCGTCCCTCCCTGCTCTGCTCTCTGAGGCCCCGTCTGCAGCACTGCGTCCAGGGCTGGAGCCCCCAGGACAAGAAAGACAGGGAGCTGTGGGAGAGGAGCCAGAGGAGCCACAGGGATGGGCAGGGGCTGCAGCAGCTCCCTGCAAAGCCAGGCTGAGGGAGCTGGGCTCGTTCAGCATGGAGAAGAGGAGCTGGGGCTGAGCTGAGTGCAGCCTGCAGCGCCTGCAGGGAGCCTGCAGCCAGGAGGGGAGGCAGCTCTTGGGCAGGGGAGATGAGAGCAGGGAACGGCTGGAAGCGGAGGGAGGGCAGCTGGAGGCTGGGGCTCAGGGAAGTTGTGTGCTGGGAGAGCGGTGAGGGGCTGAACAGCTGCCCAGAGAGGCTGCGATGCCCCGTCCATCCCTGGAGGGGTTGGAGGCCAGGCTGGATGGGGCCCTGGGCAGCCTGGGCTGCTGTGAAACGTGGGGAGGTTGGTGGTCCTGCGTGTGGCGGGGAGTTGGAGCTTCGTGACCCTGGAGTCCCTTCCAACCCTGGCCATTCTGTGATTCTGTGATCTCCAGAGGTCCCCTCCGACCCCTACATGCTGTGATTCTGTGATGTTTAGAAAGCAACGCCACCAACCTGTGTCACACTGATACGGCTCCCTCCTGAAAACCTCCGTGCGAGCTGCGCGTCGCCCGGAAAGCAAAGATAGGAGCGCTCTGCGCGGCATGCCGGGAGCCGTAGTCCAGCGCCGTGGGGCGCGCAGGAGCGGAAGTGCGGCGCCGCGCGGCATGCCGGGAGCCGTAGTCCGTCCCCGCGCCGCTCCCGCCATCCCCTGCCGCTGGAGGGCTGCGCGGCCCGGCGCGGAGCGGAGCGGGGCTGAGGCGCACAGCGGAGATGAACGCCGTTCTCGCCGTGAAGCAGTACGTGTCGAAAATGATCGAGGACAGCGGGCCGGGCATGAAGGTGCTCCTGATGGACCGGGAGACGGTGAGCGGCGGGGCCGGGCCGGGCGGGGCGCGGGGCCGGTGTTCGGCGCGCGGTGACGCGGCCCTCCCCGCAGCCCGGCGCGGTCAGCATGGTGTACACGCAGTCCGAGATCCTGCAGAAGGAGGTTTACCTCTTCGAGCGCATCGACTCCCCCGGCAGGGAGCCCATGAAGCACCTGAAGGCCGTCTGCTTCCTGCGGCCCACCAAGGTGAGAGCCCTCCCCGCGGGGAGACGGTGGGGCTGAGCGCCTCTGATCGCCGCTCTGTCGCTGTGTGTTCCTTCAGGAGAACGTGCACTGCCTCATTCAGGAGCTGCGGAGGCCGAAGTACAGCATCTATTATATCTGTAAGTACGTGCTGTTCGGAGCTCCCGACGTTCAGTGAGGCGCCGATGGGAGGCGCTGGCCTCCCCCGCGGGCAGAGTGCCACTGAGATTCTGAAAATGCCTGAATTGCAGGTTTTACATTGTTTAGATCGCCAGATCTAAGTTTACCCTTTAATGTATTTATCGGTGGTGCAGACAGTGGGACCAAGTGCACCCTCAGCAGTGGCTGATGGCACTGAGTGGATCACAGAATCACAGAATCATAGGGGATGGAAGGGACCTGCAGAGATCACGGAGTCCAACCCCCTGCCAAAGCAGTTCCTACAGCAGGTCGCACAAGTTGGTGTGCAGGCAGGTCTGGAACATCTGCAGAGAAGGAGACTCCAGCAGTCCCTGGGCAGCTGCGCCAGCGCTCCACCACCTCACCAAAGCAGTTCTTTGCACGTTTGTACAGAACTTCCTGTGCTGCAGTTTCTGGCTGTTCCCCCTTGTCCTGTCTCTACACACTGCTGAAAAGAGCCCGGCCTCGCCGCTCTGCCCCCCACACCTCAGATATTTATAGACCTGGATCAGGTCCCCTCTCAGTCTTCTTTTCTCAAGGCTACACAGACCCAGTTCACTCAGCCTTTCTCCATAGGGGAGATGCTCCAGGCCCTTCACCATTTTGTGGTCTTCTCCTGGACTCTTTCCAAGAGATTCCTGTCTTTTTTCGTACAGAGCCCAGAACTGGACACAGTGCTCCAGATGAGGCCTTACCAGGGCAGAGTAAAGAGGAGGATCACCTCCCTCGACCTGCTGGCCATGCTCTTTTTAATGCATGCCAGGATGCCATTGGCCCTCTTGGCCACGAGGGCACACTGCTGGCTCATGGCCGACCTTTCGTCCACCAGGACACCCAGGTCCCTCTCCGCAGAGTGGAGCGGTGCAGTTGGCATAGCAGAAGGAAGGGATGGTGTCCAAAGGGAGCTGGGCAGGCTGAGGAATGGGCCCACATATAAACTCAGTGAGGTTCAACGGGGCTGAAGGCTGTGTTGGGTCGGGGCAATCCCAGATACGAGTACAGACTGGGAGAAGAACTCCTTAAGAGCTGTCCTACAGAGAAAGATTTGAGAGTCCTGATGGATGAGAAGCTGGAGATGAGTCAGCCGTGAACGCTCACAGCCTACCAGGCCAACTGCATCCTGGGCTGCACCAGCAAAAGGGTGGCAGTGGGGCAGGGAGGGATTTTCCCCCTCTGCTCTGCCCTCATGTGGCCCCATCTGGAGTAGTGTGTCCAGGGCTGGGCCCCAGCACAAGAAAAACAGCTGTTGGAGAGGGTTCAAGGAGGCCATGAAGACTGTCAAAGGGCTGGAGCACCTGTCCTGCAAAGGAGCTGGGGGTGTCAGCCTGGAGGAGAGAAGGCTCCAGGGAGACCTGAGAGCAGCCTTCCAGTACTTAAATGGTGGTTATAAGAAAAATCAACTTTTTCCTCAGATAGTGATTGGATAAAGGGGAGCACATTAAAATGAGAGGGGAGATTCAGGCTGACATTGGGGAATGTTTTCAGTGAGGGTGTGATGAGGCCGTGATGCTGCTGCCCAATGAAAGTGTCGGTGCCCCATCCCTGGAGGTGCCTAAAGCTGTGCTGCATGGGGCCCTGGGCAGCCTGACGTGGGGAGGGGGAGCATCCAGCCCATGGCAGAGGGATTTGAGCTCTGTGATCTCTGAGATCCCTTCCAACTGAAGCCATTCTATGAAATTGTTTTAGAAAAAGTTACGTGCATATAAAATAAAATAGTTAAACTGGAACAACTGACAAGAATCTTCATAAAGCAATGCCATAACCCATATTACTCTCCTATGGCTATTCCTGAAAACTTCAGGGATTTCGAAGCTTCGTGGTGCTTCGTAAACATGAAAGAAGCTGACTTTAGAGTGCCTTTATTACAGTGGAAACAGAGATGAGACACTGGCCTAAATGTTGAAGGTAAATCATTCAGAGACAATGTTAACTTGTTGGGCCAAACCCAGAACGCAGCATCTTGTAACCCTGGTGGATCAGACAGGAGTTCCTCACGCGTTCTGTTCGTGCTGTAGAATGTTCGGTAGGTTTGGAAATGGAAATGTAACTACAGCGGCCTTTCTGTTGAGGTGCAGCCGTCGTGCACGCCAGGTTCTGGGCAGTGATCCGCAGTGGCCTCCAGGTGTCCCTGTCGGCCCGCAGTGCTGGAGGAGCAGCTCCGGGTTGCAGGGGCGGCTGGTGGTGACCTGGTGACACGGCGATGCTGAGAAGCTCCAGCTTGCAGTAAGCTGGCCACAGTGTTAAACTAGTTAATAGTGCTTATCTTTTAGCTTTATAAATCTACTAATTACAGCCATGTATGGCGTTACCTAATTGAGCAGATGCTGAGCAGGGAGAGGTAAGAGAGACTACCTGCACAGTAATTATGGCTGTGAAGGCAAATTGTGTTGCAGTCCACTCCTGCTCCAGGGGAGAATCGGGTCATGCTGTGCTGTGGTGTTCTTGTGTTCTGTGTCACTCACGGAGCCCAACTGCTCTTTCTCTGTTGTTTTCTTTCAGATTTCAGTAATGTGATCAGTAAGAGTGATATCAAGGCATTAGCTGAGGCTGATGAACAGGAAGTTGTGGCAGAAATTCAGGTGAATTTTGAATCTTTTAAGTAGATTTCTTAATCCGAGGGCATTAGGAGGTGGATACACACGCTAGCAAACATGCATGTCTCAAAAGGAGGACTCTGGAGGTCTTGAACAGTGAGCAACAACACTGCAGAAAACCCGTGTGTTCCATTTCTCTCTGCCCTCCAGTTGCTGGAGCTGCTGGCATCATTTCACAAGGCTGCTGTGTGTTTGTTGGCATCAACAAAGAGCTATCTACGTGAAAAGTACAGCAGGAAGTGGCAGTGGAGTTGTCAGCAGAAGTGTAAAGATGATGAGTATGTAGGCATGGAGGAAGGAGAAGTGATCAGAGTCAGTGAGTGCAGCGCTTAGGGTTTTAACGTTGCCAATACACATTGCTCTTGTGGGCTGAACAGGGCTTGGCAGGGCATTAACTGTATTTGCTTTCACTTGTTGGCAGGAGTTCTATGGAGATTACATTGCAGTGAATCCACACGTTTTTTCTCTCAACCTCTTGGGCTGCTGCCAGGTATGCAAAAAGCTAACTGTCCTGCAGGGCTCCGGGGCCTTATTTTCTGGTGACAGAGGGCCCAGTAGCCACAGCCAAGTGGGTGCAGTGGCAGTGGTTGCCCAGCAGGCAGAATGCCGTGTCCAGCCCCAAAGGGTGGCTGGTTGTTAGCAGAAATTACAGTCTGGACTGTGGCCTTTGGTGTACCTGCTCCTGTAGTCAACATGCAGTCTGCTTGGAGGGAAATGCAGCTTCATGGGACAAAGGATTGGGGATGGCACGTCCATCTCTCAAGCAACCTTTCCTTCTAGGGTCGCAACTGGGATCCAGCCCAGCTGTCCAGGACAACTCAAGGGCTGACTGCTCTGCTTCTGTCCCTGAAGAAATGCCCCATGATTCGATACCAACTCTCTTCTGAGCCAGCAAAGAGGCTTGCTGAATGTGTGAAGGTGCGGTGAGCAGTGTTAAGTGAGTTTGGCAACTTTGCTTAATTTTTGTTTAACGTTTTTTCCGTAATGTTCTTTAGCCAGTTCTTGTCAGTCCTTCCATTTCTATGTTATGTGGCTTTCGGCAGGTCGCATCCCCTTGTTTCTGCCTCCCCCAACCTCTGCAAGAAGCGAAGGCCCTTATTTCTCACAAGTCCCATTAACTGCAGTGCGTTACTGATGCCTTTTGAAAGCAGGAGCTGTTTTCTCAATAGCAGTGTAGACTGAGATAGCAGTGCAACTTGTTTTTCTCCAGCTTTTCACTTTTTATTCATCTGTTACAAAAGTGAGGGGGAACTTTTTCCAGGTATACTTGTAACCATGTGGGTTTTTTTGTATGTTTCTCGACAGCAAGTAATCACTAAGGAGTATGAGCTGTTTGACTTCCGTCGCACTGAGGTTCCTCCTTTGCTTCTTATTCTGGACCGCTCAGACGATGCCATCACCCCCCTGCTGAACCAGGTGAATCACCTCAGCTGTCCAAGGGGGAGCAGTGAGTGCTGGCAGTGCACAGAGCCTCGTGGCAGCAGCTCACAGCCTGACGGTGTGGTTTGTATTCAGGGGTGAAAAGTATTGCCCCCGTTCTTTTGCAATCTTTCTTTTATCTTGTGGCTCAATTTTCAGACTGTTGAGCGTGGGTTGTACGTGTTGGCTTCACAGGCAGAGGTGGCCAAAGATCAGATCAAGTACACTTTCACAAGACACACTTTGCATTTGGAGTCCTGGTGTCTCAGCAGTGTTGTGTTAAATGGTGTGTCTGTGCAGGCTGCTTGGTAGTACGTGGCCATGTTTACAGTTGTTGATGGGTGGCAGCATTTTTCTGTGATTTGTTTCTTTGCTGCATTGTCGCTGTGCTGCAGACCTGGCATTGCTCTGTTTCTCTCCTTTCTGTGGGATATGCTCAGATCTCAAGTCACTCTGGGTTACCCCAGCTGCAGGCAGCGCTGTGTGGGAGCTGGTGGCGATCCTTGTGCACTGGAGCAATCTGATAGTCAGCAGCCAAGCTCACGTGTGGCTTGTAGAGTTAAGGACAGCACTCAGCACAGGGTACCAAAAGTGTTGTCTGCTGTGTGGAGATTTTCTGTCCAGAAGAGAGAGTCAAATGAATGTAAATGCAGCGTCAGGCATGCCAGCACTCTGATCAGCCTTCAGTTTTCTCTCTAAATTAAAATGAGTCTTCCCAGAATAAATATAGGAACTCACTGATGTACAGGAACTCTCCAATTGCTGTGTAAGAAGCACAGGAGTGTGTAGGAAATTATAGTTTGTAACTGTGGAACCTCTGCAGCCAAAAATAAATGTTCATTCACAGGAGAAGGGGGAGCTAATGGTGGCAAATAGAGCTGCTGGAACAGGAATACGAATCCCAGTTGTTGTGCTTTTAGAGTCATTTCCTTTGAATGTACCTGCGGTAAGCAGCCTCGGGTGGGGGTGGTTTTCCTACATGTTGGCATCAGCACCTCTGACACTGAGATGCCTTTGTGATAGGAACAGCATTTATTTCTGACTGTAATGTTCTGACAGAAGCTTGAGGAGGAGACCCTCTGAGTCCGCCCTGTTACTGGAGGAATGGGAAATGACCTTGAGCAGCCTGGAATCTTTTCCAGTGCAGTGTGGTACCGTGCTGAAGGCAACACTCGCCTTTCTCTCTCCCCATGTGCCAGTGGACGTACCAGGCTATGGTTCATGAATTGCTGGGCATCAACAACAACCGCGTTGACCTCTCGCGTGTGCCGGGCATCAGTAAGGATCTCCGGGAGGTGGTCCTGTCTGCTGAGAACGACGAGTTCTACGCCAACGTAGGTGGCTGTGTCTTATGGTGGGGATCTCCCTGAGTAGCTGAATGCTGGAGTCAGGTTCCATTCTTGGAACCTTTCGGTCCTTCAGTGACTCTGAATGTTAAGGTGAGGAAAGTTTATGTAGGGTGAAGTCACTGTCGTGCAGGCAGTGTCTGATGTGTAATAACACGTTTTTTTGATAGTTGTAAATAAAATCTGGACCAATCACAAAGCTGTTTGGTCAAGTTTGAGTGTCAAATAGATGAGGTGATCTGCAGTGGTACTGAAGTGTTTTGGGTTCAGAGTGTCTCTGTGTCTTAGCTGTATTAGAACTCGTGTTCAGATGGTTTTCTCTCAGCTGCCCTCCTTGTTCCATGCAGAACATGTACCTGAACTTTGCAGAGATTGGCAGTAACATCAAGAATCTTATGGAGGATTTCCAGAAGAGGAAACCTAAGGAGCAGCAGAAGCTGGAATCCATAGCAGATATGAAGGTACCGACAGGACTTGGCAGGTAGTGCAGGTCACTGCTGACTGCACGCTGTCTGCATTCAGTTCAGACCTCTGCAGTGAGTGATCTGTGGGGCAGGAACCACTGTCCTGTGTTCAGCACGGTATTTTTTACTGGGATCCAGACCCTGGGGTTGGCCTTTCTGCACCGCTGCAGCACAGCCTGCTTGCTCTGACTGCTCCCTGAGCTGCTGTTAGAGCCTGCTGGAAGCCAGAATCCCCCCAGCTGAGTTGATAAGCTCTAGTTCAGGTACTTGGCGTAACCCAGTGTGGCTGTGTAGACTTCCCGTCTGAGCTGGGCCACTTGGCAGCTGCCCACAGCAGGGTCTGTTAATTCAGTCGCTGCTGATGATTTAAAGAATCCTGGCAGTGTCTCTGGAGTTACTTGACGTGTTCTTTTATTTTGGGTGTAAACAAAAAGCACAACCAAAAATCTCCTTGTATCTGGAGAAATCTTCCAGTCTTTTTCTGGATTTGAGGTGCCTGACCATCCGTGCACCTGCAGTGGTCTTGCTTATTAGTGGATCTGTACAACCCGGTGACAAATTGTATAAACCTCTCTTGACTGCTGCTTTTATTCTGAAGAAGGTGTCGCTCTGGTTTCCCCCTCGCAGGCATTTGTGGAGAACTACCCTCAGTTCAAGAAGATGTCAGGCACGGTGTCAAAGCACGTGACGGTGGTAGGAGAGCTCTCGCGGCTGGTTGGTGAGCGCAGCCTGCTGGAGGTGTCTGAGGTGGAGCAGGAGCTGGCCTGTCACAGCGACCATTCCAGCGCCCTCCAGGTACTTTGGGCTCGGAACCTGGCTGCGGTCCTTTGAATTCAGATGTTTTGCTCCTGGCAGCCTCCTGCTGATGGAAGTTTGATACTGAGAATCAGTGGGAGTTTTGCGTGCAGATGTCCTGCAGGGTAGGGACATAAGATGTTAGGATTACTCTTCTCCTACCTGTTCAGTTCCGATGGGGATGAATCAGAGTTAATAACTGGCTTGAGAAGCATCTTTGCAAAGTCTGTCTACGTTTCACAGCACAGCATTCCTTCATTGTATGTGGCTGGTTGGGACGTGGCAAGCTGCCTGGATAGGCACCAGTAAAACAAAACTTGGACCCCTATGCAGGATTTTCTTGTATTTGTTGGGAAGGAGAAGAAATGGAATCCATAACTAAACCAGACCATTCCTTGGGATGATGACTTTTACTTCTTTTCTAAAAAACAGTGTAAAACAGTGAAAAGCCTTTTAGATAAAAGATTTCTTTGGCAGAGAGGACTGAAAAAGCCTACAAGAGACTTCTGTTGTGGCTGAGTTTAGACTGAAGTTTTGACCCTGTGCTGGCTTGTTGGATTCCATGACCTGACCTAATATCTGACAGTATGTCAATAATGATGAATTGTGGCTGCTGACTATTCAGAGAAAATAGCAGTATTGTTAAGAGTGACTGTATTATAGCAGAGTTCAACCACTGACTCAGTATTAGAAAGCGAATCATTTATTTTTTTATAGCTGGGATAGAAGTTACAGCATATAATGGAGTCATTCACACTTTGATTAGAAAATAAAAAGAATTTTGAACAGATTTGACAGACATGTTTTCTTTACCTCTGTTACTCTGTTCTCCAGGTGGGTGGCTAAGTGGTAACATCAGCTCTTCGAGCACTGCTGTCTATTGCCAGATCCTGAGCTGATGTAGATCAGCATAGATGTGCTGAAATCATCACAGCTCTATGGATCTACCAGCATACAGATGGGACTTGATAGCTTATATTTGGTAGAATTTTGATGACCAAGTATTGAAGTGGGATTGTAACCATAAAATGCATTTGCTGAGCACAACCCCTCATGCTCTCTTGCTATATCATGGTTTCTAGGTTTCTTGTGCAGGTTAAAAGACAAATGTTTGACTTCTAATCTGTCAGCACATCATGTCTGTCTGTGATCTTTGTTTCTGATGTTACAAGCTGTGCTCTGCTGAAGGCAGCACAGAGTTTGAGTGCTGAAAGTTGGGTGCTTGGCATTGGGGTCCATTTTGAAGAAATGTTGATTTTTGTTGTAGTCGGTTACCTCAGATTCACTGGAGGAAGGGCTGACATGAACTTCTGGAGGTGGAGCAGTTGCATGTTACAGCTTTGGGGTGAGAGGAATACGTGGCAGTGCTGGAAGCTGGATTGAGATGGAGGGAGAGCAGCCCCCACTGAGTGGCACGCGGTGGTGGTCAGGTTGTTAGCTAGGCTCACCTAATTCAGGTCTGCACTGAGTGGTGTTTTGAGGTTTTTATGGCACATAGGCTGCCTGCATTTCTTTACAGCCACATGCCTAAAGGGCTGTGTTGTGTTTCTATCAACTGAGAGGGACTGAAAACCAAATAGCAGCTAGAGAATAAATGCAAAATGCAAAAATGGAAGTGGTATCTTTCTATATGAGAGATCAGTATCTCTTTAGTTGCAGTGCCCCAGGCTGTTCCCTGCTGCAGTCTCTTAATGGCAGCGAAGGGGCAAGGCCACAGACACAATGGAGAATAACCAGTGCACAAAATAAAGGCAGAATTGTTCTCCCACTGATGTAACTTCAGCAATTGTTAATTTCTGTGGTGGCCTGGGGCCCCTGAGAACAGTACGTTTTGGTTATTCTTTTCCTGGTCTCTTATTAATCCTGACATTGTACATGAGCCTTGAGAGATGAATGGGAGGTTTTGAATCCCATCTCCTTAGATGGACAATAGCTTTTCTGTTTACAAGTTTCCCGCTTATAGAGGCATTGCCACTGTGCTGCCAGCACAGGATCCAGAACGTGGCAAGCAGGCATCGCTGTGGGACTCTGCCCTCACCCTGGCAGGTGAATTCCTGACCACAAGAAGAGTTTCTTCGTTAGCTTCAGTGAACAGTGAGCAGCCAGGATTTCACCCCATGTTTTTGTAACTGGTCTGCATCAGTGGAACGGATGGCAACAAACACAGCTGAATCAGTTCGGTCGATAACAACTGTTACAGTATTGTTTCACAGCTGTTCACTGAATATTTCCGTGCTGCCTCTCTGTTCTGGGAGGCTGGGAGAATGTTGCCAAGATGTGCTGGGATTTTTGGAGTGTTTGAAGGTCATGTTCTCCTGTAGCATGGAAAAAATCCTCCTCGCTGGTTCTGTCCCTGTCTTGGAAGTGCCATTTCAATCACTGTACGACTGGAAGCTCTGCTGCTCTCTTGAATCAATACAGGCTGATGTTTTGCTTTAAGCACAGGGAAGACTGCAGACTTTGTTGTGCCCTGAAGTGTCGGTCCGGTCCTTAACCTTCAGGTGCAGTCAGCAGTGCTGCCTCTTCCTTGAGATCCATCTCCAGGCTTGGTGTTAAGGAGCCTGTTGCTCCCACTGCTCTCCTAAGCTGCCAACTTGGCTCTGGTGTTTTTTCCTCTGTTAACTTCAGTATCTCAACTGTACGGCTCTGCGCAGTGACTGAGGAGCTGCAGAGAGGAAATAAGTGCTTCTGTTGTAATGACAAGGAGTAGCACTTACAGGGCAAATTGTCAGCTGACAAGATAGAATAACGTCCTGCCCGCAGTCCCTGCAGGGAACATGGCATGCCTCAGGGCTTCTGAGTCTGTTCTGGAAATGCTTTAGCAGGTGGCCTCTGGGATGTGCAGTCCTTGTGTTTACAATGCTGCCATGTTCTGTTCAGCAGAAAAACAAATAATCTGCATGTTAGAAGTAAATAACTGTGGATTTCTGTATTTATTTCTCCAGTAATCTTTCTTTGCCTTTCCGTGCTTTAATTCTTTGTTTCAAAGTGCTTTGTTTGCTTCCCCCCAGCCCCACACTTCTCACATCCAGAGATTGTCTGAGACTTCGATGCTTCATTCCCACACCTTCCACAACAAAACAAACTGTAGCTCTGCTAGCACTTTTTCCTTGATGGTTGATATTACGATGGAACCTGTGGGCCAGCTTTTGCTGTATTCAGGTTGGAAAAGGAAAGGGCGAAGATTAAAGGTTTCTGCAAGCTTCTGCGACCCCATTTGGGAGGAGTGCACTGAGCTGGGCTCACTGTGAGGCACATTATGAGAGTTACAGAGAATTACAGGGGATTCCAGTCATGAAAACAACTTGCAGTCCATTATACAGCAGTAAATCTAAACAAAGAGCATATAAGAAGCTCAGGTCTGTTGCTTATGGTCGCTTAATTCCCTTGCGTTCCTCCTGCTTGCAATTTTGTTACTAAGCAATGGGCTTGGTGTTATCTGATTTCATGTGCTCTGAAGGCCTCTCCATTAATCCCACTTGGTATCTTGTTGCAGAATGTGCGGCGCCTCCTGCAGAACCCCAAGGTGACTGAGCTCGATGCTGCCCGGCTGGTGATGCTCTATGCCCTGCACTACGAGCGGCACAGCAGCAACAGCCTGCCAGGGCTGATGGCAGATCTCAAGAATAGGGGTGTTTCTGAGAGATACCGAAAGGTAATGCAGTATTTCTCCTTCTGCTGGATGAATGAGTGGGGCAGAAGGGCACACAGGTGTCGGATTGTTCTTAGTTGCTGGAGGATGCCTGTTGCTTGCCTTAACGTAGCATAATACTTTTTTTCTGTTGAATTGCACCACACTTCTCAATAAGAGCACGGAGCTTGGCTGGGGCCTGAAGATGTTAAAGACATAGCTAATTACTTAATGTCCATTTCCAAAATCAGTGATGTCATGAAGGATTCTACAAAGCAGAGATGGTGTGTTTGGCAGGAGTCTAGACCTGGTGTATGGCATGCACTTTTCCTTTCTCCTTCTTCCACCTCCTGCTGAATAGGCAATAGCTGTAGCAAGGGACTTAACCAAAACAGTAAGGGGGGCTTGGCTGGGAGGGAGAGGGTGGCAGAGCTTGACAGATGTAGTGAGCTGCTGGAGAGGAGGTGGAGGGGCAGGATAATGTCACTGTATCTTCATCTTCTGATGTGCTGTCACTGCAGAGGACTGTGGGAATGAAAGCATTTCTCCTTATGCAGGCAGTGCCGTGGCTTCTTGTGTTCGGAGAACACTTCTCTTCCTTCTTTCCTCTCTCTGACTTCTTGGTCATTGTCCCAGTACCTCCACTGAACCTGATAGGACAGCTGCGTGAAATTTTGTTTCCCAGGTTAACAGCACTCTGGTTTTGCCTCTCTCTGTACAGCTGGTCTCTGCTGTTGTGGAATATGGAGGGAAACGGGTCCGGGGCAGCGACCTGTTCAGTCCCAAGGATGCTGTAGCCATCACAAAACAGTTCCTCAAAGGACTGAAGGTATGGATCTGCCGTAGATGGAATAATGACAGCTTTAGTCAAAGCTCCAGTAATAGGGCAGGATTCTTAGCCGTGCGTTCTGGCTTTCAGAGGTGTTCATGTTCTAGGCCTGGGTCTGTCTCCTTCACAGGGGCCTACGTGGCTCAGTGGCCAGAAGGGTGGTGGTGGGGGTGGCCCAGATAAAAGAGGAGCAAAAAAACCCAGCGGCAGTGATTTAAGGAAAAAACCTTAATGAAATGCAAACTAATTGGAATTGAAGCTAATAAATCAAATGAATGAAAGAGAGTTTTTGGTACTGAGTCTCTGATGTTGCATCGGCCGCCAGGGAGCTGGAAGGAGACAGAGATTGCGTGACCTCTCCATTCTTCTGTCTTTTCCCTCCTGCCGGAAGACAGAAAATAACAAAATGAAGTCTTCTGGTGCTGAGTCTTTTCCTGGCCCATGGAAGCTGTAGTTCATTCTTCTCTTCAGAACACGGACCTGCCCCATGAACTCCTCAGCTCCCACCATGGCATGGTGCTGTGGATGTAGAATACCAATGGAAAGAACGATAAAACCATGACACAGAGTTTAATAGCTTTTTAGAGGTCTAATAGTAAGTGCGCTGAACGTTTGAGGGGTAATTCTCATTTTAGGCAGTGGAAGTTGGTTGCTGAAAAGCCCCTCTAAGTCTTGACTCAGCGGTTAATAGCTGCTATATCCATCAGATGCTGGGGCTCTTTGAGTGTGGCTTTGCTGATCAGCTTTCTTTCAGCATGTCTGCCTTGCTGTATTTATTCATAATGGGAGCTTCTTTTGCACTGTAGGGTGTTGAGAATGTGTATACACAACACCAGCCTCTCCTTCAAGAAACACTGGATCAGCTCATCAAAGGAAAACTGAAGGACAGCCAGTACCCCTACTTGGGTCCCAACACGCTCCGTGACAGGTATGTGGGGTCTTGCTGGGCAGCACCTGGAGTTGAAAAACGTCTGCTCCTCCCTGTGCTCCCACTTGCTTTATTCTTTGCCCATAGGTGAAAAAAATTCAGGCTTGCTGAATAAATGTTCTGATCAAGTGGGTATTTCTTGAGCTGTCAGGTAGGTGCCAGGCTGTTAAAGCTGAAATACAGTCGTCTTTTCTCCATGTTCAGTGCTGACCAAAACATGACATTCCCACTGGAAGTAAGAGCTTAGGTAAGGATGAAGGCACTGCACCAGGCTGCCAGGATGTTCATGTGATGGATTTCAACATGCCCCCTAACTTCAGCCCGTGCCATCTGGCGTTTACGTGCAGAGAACCAAAAATAGTCCAACTGCTAACTCTCCCTTCTGAGCCAGTTACTATTTCTGATTAGAATGGGATGTTGCTGATTATGGCCAGTAACTGTAATTGAAAAGAACTCTGGCTGCCTGGTTCTAGCTGACTTTGCTAGATCTAGGCTAACCTGTTGTCAGTGAAGTCATTGAAGATAAATGTGGGCCTCAGAGGGAGGCACTGAGTTGGTAGAGAGAGCTACAAGTTCTTTAGCAGCTTTCTGTACAAAACCCCCATTTGTTTGGTATCTCAGTTTCCTTTCTGTAAGTTACCTTAAGTTCTGCAGCATGCTGGCTGGCATTTCTTATTCCTCCTAGTAGTGGTGTCCTTGGAGGGGAAGATCTTGATCCTGCTTTGGTTCCTTTGGGTGATCTGTGGTGAGACCAGCACAGCTGTTCTCTCAGTCTTCTCAAACGTTCACTGAATGCCGCAGGGTTTTACTTGCAGCATTACAACAGTCATCGTGCCCTTCACACCCTGCGTATGAGTGGCTTTTTATCAGCAACTGCCACATTTGTGGCATTTACTGCAGGGAAGTCTGAGCTAAATGGAATATGCAGGTTTGTTTGGAGCTGGAGGAAGTGGGCTTGGGGACCAAGGGGCAGCAGCATCAGGTAGGTGGGAGGAGCAGGATCGTTCTGTCTGGCTCTTTGAGGTAACGCACACACTGGTCTTCCCACTTAGCCCTGCTTTGGGGCATCTGCATCCACCTGAGGAAAGCAAAAATGTGTTTCGTAACAGGGAAGGATCCAAATTCCATGCCAAGTTGGTGGCAGGGGATATAAATCACTTCGTTTATGAATTAAAGAATTATAATCATACAAGAATCAGTTTGTTAATGTATGTCCTTGGTAGACTGAAACCTGCCTGCCTTACTCCAAATTTTCCTTTAAAAAATAAAATGGTGGAGTTTGGACAGGGTGGATGGGCGGCTTTAATGAGTGTGAGATATCAGGGCCCCTTCCTAGCAGCAGATACGGCAGCAAGAATGCCGTCCTCCATCTCCTTGAAAGGAGCCCAATGAAAAGAGATGGAGTGATGGGATCTGAAACAGAGTGGGCAGAACAGCAGACCTGCATCCAGGCAGCCCTGACTCTGGTTGCTTCTGAACTGACTAAAAGCAAATGGTCTTCTGACCTTTGTTTTCTCATTCTTAGGACCCATTTACGTTCTGCTGAGTTGTGTTTCACTTAGGTTCCTCTTTAAATGTTTAAGAGCGTGTGGTTGTTGGGGCTGTTCCCATATGGGGAAATCTTGTTCAGCTTAAGACGTGAGAACTCTAGGAATCAAAGGTTCTGTAGCTTTGACGAAACATCAGTGCCAAAATACTTCTGTGCCTGGTCTTTATTTGCTTTTCAAAACGGAGGTGCAGCACTGTGCTGTATCTTGGGTATGAATATTAAGTGCCATGAAACTGAGTTCTCATCTAAAGACAGATTCTAGCTATCAATTTTGGAAGAAAAAGAACTGCTGTATGGTGTTGCTGTAGTGCCAGATGAGTTGAGTGAGGACTTGACATTAAATAGTTTTGCAGAACTTTCACTAAATTGCAGCCTGAGGCAAACTGGGCAGTCCTGCCTTCTCACTGTTTGCAGAGGATGGTGTTACCATGACTGGCAGCAGTTCAGCAGCAGGTCGGGGCAAAAAGCTTTGTATTTTTTGATCAAAGGGAGGCAGTTGCTTCAACAGCAGAGAATTCAAAAGGATTCTTTTTAACTGCTTCTTTCTGTATTAAACATCACACTGTTGCGAGGAAGGAAAAGCTCATGGTCCAAATTCATCTGTGGAAATTGGCAGCGGTGAAGGAGAGGGAATCTGCAAAACAGTGAGCAGGGTTCCTAGGAGAGAGCAATAAGCAATTCTGCTTGATTTTGCTTCCTTTTCTTTCTTGCTATGTTAAATGTTGTCCTTTTCTAGCAGGCCATAAGCCTGCAGTCCCCTCTACCTTACAGCTGGAAAGTACCAACAGGAAAAGTTCCTACAGCTCCTTCCCATTGCAGCAATGTGTGTGAGCCCCGCTGCGCTGTGCTCTGCAGAAGATCCTCCAAAGGCTCGTGACACATTTAGAGTGCTGGCTGGGCTCTGCAAAGCGTGCCCTTTGGGTGGCATTTTTGCTTTGTTTAAGCTTTGGGATTGCCCGGGAATTTCTCTTCATAGGGCATTTGTCCTGGCAGACCAAGGCCTGGTGGTGCTTTACATGAGAACTCAGTGATACGTCCAGTGATCCAGGGTATGCTGTGACCTACAGCCTGAGTGTGATCTTTCACCTGTGATGTTGTTGAAGGGGGAGCTGCTCTTGACTGCTTGAGGAGAGGAAGAATTGGGAAGAATTCACCATTATAAACGTGACACACATCTGAAGGGATGGGTGAGGAGTCTCCTTAGGCAGCAAACGTAAAATCTCCATATTTGGAAACATCAGCTTGCAGCGTGTGGTGTGGCACCACTCAGCTGTGTCCTTTTTTATCTGAGTTCACACAACACCACCCTGAAGATGGTGGAACGCAGTGCCATTGCTGAACCATGCGTATTATCTTGGGTTTCGTATGATTGCTGTTTTGTAGCTTTTTTTTTTAGGCCAGAACTCTGGCAGTGTCCTTGTTTGTTCGAGGCAGTTGCTTTATCCTCCTCTGTGAAATGCTCAAGCATTTAGCTGTTAAATTGGCAGTTAACCCGAGGAAATACATAGTCACAGATTGGGGCTGAGCAGCACAACAGCTGGAGGTGGCGTTCCTGCAGATTGCTTTCCCACTAATCCTGTAAGTCTTGGGGTTTCTTCCTGTTCCAAAATTGCTTACTGTTTGCCCATGATAGAAGCAAGCATTCCCTGGGCACTCCATGAGAACACTGAGATGTTTTTCACGTGGCTTATATTCATGTGTGTTCATATGTGTATATATATGTATATATATATGGCTTTTTTCCTTGCTGTTGATGTGTGTACATATATGTGTGTACATATAAAACCCACCCCGAACTTCCATCTGTAGGGTTTCTTAGTTCAGCCTCTCTTAGCAGTTTGATATGTGATCCTCATCAGTGCTACATGAAGTATGGCTGTTCCTGGCACTATCAGGCTGCTCCTGCTTTCATTTAAGGTAGTGGAGGAGTGCTGGGGTGCCGACAGGAATGGTCTTATTATTTGCTGCTGCTTGTCCTGTGTGTACTTAGTTCCTCTTTAGCTTGATGTGATTTGTCATCATTTTCAAACCTATTTTAACACATCTGTAGATCCTTCATAAGACACTTCTCTGTTCTTGACCTTGAGGTTGAAAAACTCTCAAATCGTCCCTCCTGTGCATCTGGGCTTTGCATAAGCGAGAAACACGGTTTCCCTTCCTCAGCCAAGCCTTGTTTCTGTGAAGTGATTGGGCTGCTAATGCACAGCCACCTCACTTGTGGAGATCCAACACCAATTCATGTAACCCCGTGTCCTAGAGGGAAACTGTGACCTCGGGACTTGGGACTGCCCCTGTGATGAGAATGAGCAGGAGAGGTGTCTTGGGACATGGTAGATGATGGCAGATTCGTGGGCTGGTTCACGGTAAGATGATGGGTTGGTGGTTAGGATGTGTTGGCGGTTGGCTTTGATGATCTTAGTGGTCTTTTCCAGCCTTAATGATTCTGTGATTCTGTAAGTGGACACATGGGGGTGGTTGGTGTTGAACTTGATGATCTTAGTGGTCTTTTCCAACCTTTACAATTCTGTGATATTTCAGAGGAGCGCATGGGAACTGGCCACACAGCTTCTGCATTGAAATCTTCAGGTCTCTTAAAGTTCCAACCCAAAATGCATAAATGATGGCATTGGAGGTCGATGCTGTGGACTTCAGGCCGCTAATAGGCTTCATTTCCCAGTTGCTCCTGCGATCCAGTTAGTAAAGATGTCTTTACCTGGAAGCTCCATACTGACCTGCAGGCTTCCTTACCTGAAAGGGATTCTCCCTAAGAGCTGTGCATCGCCTACATGCCACATCTCTTACACATATTGGGATAAAAATGGGTTTGTAAGGATTTTTAATATGATTCTTTTTTTTTCAGACAATCCACAGGTGCTTATCAGATCCCTTCATTGCTGTGCTTCGCCTTCCCTCTGATTTCCGTTCCCAAGAGACTTGGGCACATTTGCATCTGGCTTTCAGAGCGGCCTGCCTGAACGCAGGCAAAAAGACAAGGTGCAGCACTGCTGTGCTCTGGGGCTGCTCAGTGGCTCATGCTGTCACTGCAGGGCAGAACCCTCAGTCTGCCTGAGCAAGATGTCTGAACCTGCACAACTTGGGTGTGCGCTTGCTGTATATAACCTGCTTGTCTTAAGGCTGCAGTGCAGATTTCACAGCCTGTTCCTGCACAGGAGACACAGAGTCGCTCTGCAGGGAGACAAGCACACGAATCCCAGTCTCCGTAAGGGAAGCTGATGCAGCACAGACTGAAATCGCATCCCGTGCTCCTGGCTGCATGGCTAAGCCGTGCACAAGGACACTTGCCACTGTGTCCAGAGAGTGCTGGCACAGAGCATCTGATAGAACGTGCTGTAATCATGTGGGCTTCTCTGCAGAGGATTCCATTCTAACTCTTGTACTTTACAAGGAGGCTCTGCAGTAAGTTGCTCACAGGTTTCAGGCACTGAGGCTGCAGTTTTCCCTCTCCTCCCCACACTGGCAGTCTGCCTGCACCTCCTAAAGTATCCTGAAGACTTTGTTTTGGCTGTTCAGGGCATGTTATGCTGACCTAACCGAAGAAAACACCCATGCTTATTGATTATTGAAGATTATTGGTAACAGTGGTCGCTTTGAGGAGGGATTTTTCTTACCTTTCTGCATCCTTTCCAGGGGCAGGGAGGCAGTAGAGTGCACCTGATGCTAACACTCTTGTTTGGAGCCAGCATCCCATTCTGTTGGCAGAAGCAGTTTTGCTCTTTGTAGGGCTCTCTTGTCAGTGACAGCTCTTCTGAAGTGAGTGCCACGGCTCCTCCGGGCAGTAACAGGTCTCTGGGGCTTTCCAGGGTGGCTTCTCAGCAAGGAGTAACCGAAGACAGCATTAAGGTGCATGCCAGGGTCATCCCTGTCTTATGCTTCATTTGTTTTGTCACTGATCCAGAGCTTGCACAGACAGAGCAGATGAATGCCTGCTGCTTTCACCACTGCAGCAAGTGCCTGTGTTCTAACAGAGGTGCCTGCTTGGAAAGCAGAGACTAGTTTTGAGACTGTGGCAGAAAGTTAATTGTGTTGAGACTTGCCTGCTTTCCAGAGTTGAAACACTCTGGTTCCAGCAGGGGATGGTGTGCAGCTGACGGGATGCAATCCAGATCTTTCACTATAGATTGTGCAGAAATCGTTCTTTTAGCTTCTAGGTGGTAGCAAAAGCTGATTTATGGGTGGTAAGCACATTGTGCTGTCCTTGAGAACGGAAAGGCATTGGGGAGAATGGTGCAGGGAAAGACCAGCCTTCCCTTGAAAGCAGGACATGCAGGACGTGTGCCTGGTTTTGCATTTTGCTAGATGCAGACACTTCCCATCTCCCTTCCTCCTTTTTCCTCTGTAAAATCCTGTATTTAGGATTCCTTAGGGAATGTAGCCTTGGAGGTAAACCCAAGCATAAATCCTCTGTTCTGTAATCAGCCAGCAAAACTGCAGCTGACCCTTCCAACCAAGCCTGAGAGCACTGAAGCTCCACTGCTGTCCTCGTTTGACTCCAAATTGATCTGAATTTCACAGCCACAGCGGCGTCTCCATCATGCATTGAACATTGGTGATGTGTGGCGGTGGAGCTCCGCAGGGATACGGCGTGTGGGTGTGCAGAGGAGGCTGTCAGGACCGCGAGCACAGAGTGTAAATGTTTAGGAGAGGCAGTGTTTGAAAGGCGACTTCGTGGGCTGTGTGTTGTCAGTCTTCAGCCCAGCGCATCACAGAAATGAAACGTGGTCTGCGAGAGAAACCAGCAGGACTGCTGCCTCCGTGCCATTGCTGGTACGGGATTTATGCAGGTCTGTATTTGTGTCTTTACTGCAGGCCCCAAGATATTATTGTTTTCATCATTGGAGGGGCGACTTACGAGGAGGCACTGACTGTGTACAACCTGAACCGCACCAACCCGGGCGTCAGGGTCGTCCTCGGCGGGACCACCATCCACAACACCAGGAGGTAACAGCCTTACTGCCAGGGGTCAGCGTGCCTTAAACTGCTGAACCGAATGTGAATGGGTGATGCCTGAGGGATCGTCACTGCTCAGCAGAACACAGAAATGTGTCTAAATGGTCTGAGCCCAGCACTGCTCATTATGGCTGAGAGACGTATTATCAAGCTGAAGGTTTAATGTTTGCTTTGCTGAATTCAAGGGCAAGGAAGTAGATCTGTGTAGGTTTTCCTGCTTGTAATTCACCATACACTGTACTGGGAATGAAAAGCCAGTGCAGCGCACAAGGATTCAGAGCTGACTGTGGTGTCATTGCTTCTGTTGAAATCTGGAGCAGTCGCATTTGATAGCAGTGAAGTTAGTGTACCTATGATTAGAATGGAGTTCTGCAATTGCGCTGCTTGCAGGCTCTGTGCTGCCCACGAGCCTGCAGAGCATTGGCTGTGCCTTCTGCGTTTCTCCCTGGAGAACTTTCCTTATTGGTTTGTTTTACACTCTGAGCTGCCTTTCCTGGGAGGCCAGGCAGTTGTGAGGGCTCAGTCCTGGAGGACTGAGAGCAGCCAGGGAGCACTGAGCACGCTGAGCTTCATTGATTTCCTGGGTACTGCCTGAGTCATTCTAGCAGCTGGCTAAAAATGCAGACCATGTTGAGGATTGTTTTCAGTCAGCACAGCTTGCTGCCTCAGCTGAGCAGAGGCATTTGTTGCACGTCTTACAGAAAGTCCAAGTAAGAAACAAGCTGAACAAATTGGGATCACCACAGGCCCCTGCCAGAATTTAGGATTCCAAACTTGGTCAGTTTTGCTTTTCTGTATCTTGTTTGCCTCACTTTGGTGACATCTTTGCCTTCCCATCTCACTGGATCCCTAACTAAGCAGATAATTTACTTTGAAATAGCTTCTGCTCCCTGACTGATGTACCTTGTCTCTTGCTTCCACTGAACAACATCTGAGCAGAAAGAATGGCCTCTGTTATAGAATTGCCCCAGTAATATCCTACCATCTTATTCCAAGAGAACTATTTTCATTCTTGTAGGAGGCAATCTACTGTAGGAGTCTTGTCTGTGTGAGCTGAATCAGGACCACTGGAGAGTGGTCTGTCACTGAACAGCCTCCAAAGGACGCTGCTCTCAGAAGGAGGGAATGTGACAGGTGACACGTCTCTGCCATGTGTTGCAGCAGGAAGTGTGGTGAAATCCAAGGCCTGGGGGAGCCCCTTGTTGTCCAGCAGCTGCTTGGAGCTGAAAGGGAGCGCCAGGCTGAGAGGGCAGGGCAGCTCCAGTGTGATCAAGTGGGAGCACAAACAGAATGGTGCAGCACTGCAAGAAGTTGTGCTTCTCAACGATGGCATTTTCAGAGCTGACGAACCACTCTGGGTGCCTCAGCAGTGCTCTGGAGCTCAGGAAGCACACGCTGTCATTGCCACAGGCTCTGTATGTCCGAAACACAGCTGCCAGGCGCTTCCTTGATCTCAGTTACTGACAGGTGCACACAGGTGTGGAGCATAGGCTAAAAAATGGTTTTGGTTTAAGGCCATGTCTGCGCTGTTGCTGCGTTAGGGTGTGATATTTTTAACACCCCTGCACTTTTGCCCTTCCTTTTCACACCTTCAGGCTCCAAAGCTGCCTACACAAAGCAGTAATAACTCTTATGCAAGGCGTTCCAGTGGTTCCCACCATCACTTTGCTAAAAAAAAAAAGCCCAAATCCACCAAATTCCCACTCCAAAATTTGGCCCTTTCTTTGGTTTAATATCAGCTGATGAGAAAGCTCCTGAGCTGGTGATAGCCCAGAAGCAAATTACTGTCATGAACTGGGTTACAGAGGCAAGTCTGTATTAGCCCACATATCAACCAGTGCCTGCTCAAATTACCAGGCTTCCTCGACCTTCTGCTTTCCAGAGTGGCTTTTGAACTAAATCCTGTGCTGGCCAGACCTGGAAATAGTAAGAAAATGAGATCAGACTAGCTGCTTTTTACTTAGGAAACAAAAGAAATGAAGTGAATTGTCATCTTGTAAGGATGCAGAACTGGTTCATGTTCAGCCTGACGTCCAGTGCAACCTCTCAACCTCTCAGTCTGCCATTGCATTCCAAGGCTGATTCTGACATCTGCCAACAGTCCTACATCAAACCTTAACCAGCGTTTGTGCTGAGAGCCTGGATAGCGCCGTCATCACATGACACTAAAAGCACAAAACCAGAGCGAGGATAGGAAGAAGGCACAGCTTTTCATTCCAGACTGGAGGCCAGGACCTGCTCTGCAAGGGTATCAGTGCAGCACATTCAGCAGAAACTGTCAATGGGGGAGGGAGAATGGAGGAAACCTCCTGGCAGCGTTTGGTCTGGAAGGAAAATGAGCAGGACAGGCGAGAAGGGATGGTTTTAGTTGTAGGTTCCCACCCCTGCTCTGCTGCTGACCTGTTAGGTGACAGTAGGAAACTTTCTGCTTCGTCTGTTTGCACCAGAAGGTCTCTGAGCTTTGTGAAATTGAAGATTTGCAACTACACTCCTTAGATTTGTTCTGTAAGGAGTAACATTAGCTAGCTGGGGCTTCTACCGTGACTGAGTTTTGGTGCATCCTCTGAATTATTTACAGAAAAACGAGGATACTGTATCAGAATTTGCATTTCAAAGAATGAAGTGAAAAAAAAGAAATAATTTCGAAAGGCTGTGGCTCTGTAGGGGGCTGATGGTACGGGGTCCTGTCTGGGAACACTGAGACGAGGGCTCTCAGGAGTCGTGCTCTGAAAATAGCCCTGTCCCAAGTGAGTTGCTTTTCCCTCGTGGCTTGAATAAGATTCCCTGAATGAGGGAAGGCCGCACTGGTAATAACAGCAGAGCTTCCCAGACAGAAAACTTAGTGCTTTTCAGGGGATGGCTGACGCTGTGCAGGAGGAGGAGCAGCAAACAGAACGGAGTGAGTCAGCTCCCACCAGGTACCTGAGGAGAGGAGGAAGGTTTCCTGTCTGCAGCGATCGTAGCAAAGCGTATGAGGATTCTGGCTATATCAGCAGATACAGCAATATGTGAGCAAACCTGGATTTGATGGTGTTCTAACTGCTCCGGTAATCCAGCAGACTTCATTTAATGAACCGCTGCTTATTTCTGCTGGATTAGGGCTGATACGTCGTAATAAACAGGGAGATTTTGATATTAATGTGAGGAGCAGCCCGTGTAAGCACACTAATCCCATGCTTTCATTGTTCTTACAGCCCAACTTAAATTGTGATCAACATCTGTGTTTATGGAGTGGGGGGTGGCATAGGGGCATCGATCTGCTTCTTAAGGCTGGCACAAACCAACCCTCAGAGCTGGTTGTGCCATTACAGCTCTGTGTTGGTGTAAAGCTTATTTGTGGAAGAGACAATCTGTGTTGTCCAATGGGATGCTTGAATGGTGGGTGAAAGTGCTCCTTTACGTACTGCCTTTGGAAGGTCTCAAATTGGGCACAGGAAGGACCTTTTTAAAGTTTCTTTATGCTACATGGTGATGTCAAGGAGAATCTGTCTGTGTTGATCTTCATGGATTTGTATCCATATATATGCAGGTATTTAATAGCAGTGCCCATATTCTGAAGTGAGGCATGAAGTCGGGGTTCCTTGTAAATAAATCAGGTTAGAGGCTCTCGTGTTGGAGATTATTCCTTGAGTTAACAAACTAACAGACTGCCCCTTACCATTCAGTGTACGGAAGGACACTGATACGTATTGGAAATGTTCTGAGATCCAGCAAGGTCGAAAAAAATGGGTTGTTTGTCAGGATTTTCAGTGTTTTTGTAATCAAACCACATTGTCTTCCTGTTACTTCGGAAATTTTTGCTGCCCTCCGAAAAACCCTTCTGCTACGATGTGATTCTGAGAAGGATAAGGAAGGGCTTTCCTGTACGATGAGCCCAGGCAGGGATGTGCCCCACGGAGGAGATCCCACAGCTGCTGCATGCACCATCGGCAGCTCTGCTGCTGCCCTGCCCCCAGGCAGAAGCACCAGGACAGGAGTGCAGAGCTCCTCTGTGTTCTCCCAGCGAGGTGATGAACTGTGAGGAGAGGCTGAGGATTGTTAATTGTGGGTTCTTTGGAGAAGTGTGTGTGTAATTATGTTTTTAAATTACAGCCATGGTGAATGTGAGAGTTCATTCTTGACTTGACTCCTGGCCATAGCAGTTACTGAGGAACCCGGATAAATGTGGGCAGATCTGTGCTGGAGTTGAATCTGTGGGTTCCCAGGGGTTTTCTCCTTGGAGGATTTCCGTATGCTGTTGTGTCTGTAGAGGGGCTGGGTGCTCGCACCAAAGAGCTCTGGAGCCTGCGGCTTTGCTGTGGCTTTAGGGCTAGGAGTGACATCAAAGTGTGTAATTATGGGGCTGTGGAGCCCGGTGTGTTTGGTTGAGAGCTGGAGAGCTGCTGCCACTTCCCAAAGAAAAAGCAAAGTGATTTCTTGCTGTTGGCAGACAGCTCCAGCACCGGTCCCATGGGCGCACAGCCCTGCTTCTCCTTCACAGCCACCTGGATTGCAAAGAAATTTCACTGGAGAAGGGGTTAAAAGAGATCAATAATGCCTAAAAGGGGATGAATGAGACCCTGAGACCATCTGGTGCGTGGGGCTGACTCATCCAGAGCACAGGTTAAGCAGAAACCTGCTGTGACTAATCCGAGGGGATGCCAGCCTGACCCACTTACCCACTTCCAGCAATAGCTCAGCTGTCTCTTGGTGCCCAGCTCGGCCGGCCCAGCCCGCGTTGTGATGCCGGTGATGCTGGTGCCCATAGGGGGAGCGCCCACCCCGGCCCTTAGGATCCTTAATCTGGAGGGAACAAGGTGTGGGAGCAGGTGGAGGCACCCCTGGTCCTCTCTGTGCTTCTGTATTTTCTGTGATGTTGGCGATGGGGAGACCGTTGTGCAGGAGCCCCTTTTAAAAGGAAAAGCAAGTCATCCTCTGTTGAGAACTCAGTCTGTGTGGCTCTAATGCCTACAAATAAAGCTGGAGGAGGGACGGCTCTGGCTGTAATTGCCGTGCTGGTGGACCACAGCAAAACGTACCTCCTGAACGTCAGGCTGCTGCCCTCAAGAATGCGTATTTCTGAGCAGTGCAGGGTTGAGATCTGCAGATTGGTGCAGGCATTTGCATGTGTTTGTTTGTTTTTAATTTTTAGAAACTCTCAGGATTCACAGCCTTCGCAGGTAGCCCCGTCTCACCCCACTTCTAGGTGAACAGAGATTTTGTAGTGTTTGTGGTGTATCCTGATTTTTATTTTAGGGTTTTTTTTTTTACTTTGTAAGCATTAACGTTAGGATAATTTGATCAGCATATTGAAGGCATGAGTCAGTGGGAGCCGGTGGCAGCATACAGTGCTGCCAGAGTAACCATCCTCCTGGAAACAGCCTCAGCAGAGCTCACGTGGCAGCACTGCTGTGGCGCTGCGCGCAGCCTCCCACGCTGCACAGAGCGGCGGTGCAGGCAGCCACCGTCCTGCTGGGGCGCAGGGCCTGCTCCTGCTTGGCTCTGCAGGCGGGAGAGCTGTGCAAGAGTGTGGAAAAGCCTGTAACTGAGCAAAAGCAATGCAGGAAGCCTTAAAGAATCACTCTTTCAAATCCTTCTTTTTATTATTCCTCTTGAATTAGTCTCAAACCTTAACCCACATCTAGACCTATTTAGACAAGGGTGCTCCCCTCGCTCGCCATCCTTTGCTGGATTAAGCTGCACTGTGAGTTGTGCAGGGGTTGAGGCTGCTGGAATGCAGCGTGCTGCAGCTGATGTTGGGTGAGCTCCAGCACATAGCAGAGAGCTGGTACCTGCTGCTCAGCCCCCTGCACCCATCCGCCCCGACAAGGAGCGGCTGTGCGCTCATGGCAGCTGTAAGCCTGGAAACTAAACCACCGTGGCATGCTTCAGGGATAGAACTGGCCTTTGAAGACTGCTTGGTGACAGAATGGGTGAAATTACTTCTGCAGACCTGTCGAGGTAGAAATCTTCTCTCTCGCTGCATAACCGAGGAGCCACAGTCCTGCCCACAGCAGGAGTTGGGTGCTGGCAAACAGGGCTGCCTGTGCAGCGATCTCATCTGTACAAGGGCTCTCAGGTGCTCTGCAAGCAAGAATGGGATTTTTCCCATGTCACACAGCCTAACTCAGCTCTTAAAGACATAACGGGGAATTTAAATGGAAATAGGTTTGGACTAAGACAGAGTGATCTTGTAAGCTCAGATTTCAGTGTCTCGGTCCCCAAAACGGCACAGCACAGACCCCCTTGTCCAAGTTCCTGCCCGCTCCAGGCTGTCCCCTCCAGTTGGCCAGCTCTACCCCTGATCCACAGCACAAGGGTTTGCTGAGAATCCCAAATGTGGCCCTGAAGAAGTTGTCCTTTTGTTTTCCTATGTGGAACCATTGCTCTGGTACATGGCTGAGCCAATTGCTTGGGACCCCAACCTCTCTTAGGAAAATCGGAGAGAGAAGGCAGAAGGGTGAAGCTTTGTCTTTAAGCATTTTACTTAGTCCTTGAGCTCTGGCTGGATTAATGCTTGGCGCCCAGAGATTTCCATGAGGCTTATTGGATTGAACCATAAAACATGGTTCAAACAGGCTGAAATCAGAGTGAGGATCCCAGGCAGGTGAGAGCCCTGCAATGGGCTGAGGGAGGCTGAGCACAACCCAGGGCTGCTTTCAGAATGCCCTGCTGCAAAATGCCAAGGATGCCACAGCAGGAGGTTTCCACCCTGCCTCTTCCTGCTCTCTTATCCTCACAGGAAGGCTGAGAACAAGCAGAAAACCAAGCCTGAGTTCTGACCTTCCTGGGTTTGTTGCCAAGAATCAAACGGGGCTGCCAGTAAACCCAGGTGCAGAGCTGGGCTGAGAGCTAGGAGCTCATTTTGGGAGCCTTACGGGATGGGCATTTAGGGAGGAATGGATCTTCTCAGCTTCCTTGCCGGCTGCCTGGGTTTTGTTGCCCAGGGAGCGCTTGTTGGTGTGGTTCAGAGGCCACGTGGTTGCTTTCTGTTGGCTGGGAGACTAACCTGAGCTTTGCTTGGCAGCTTCCTCGAGGAGGTTACAGCTTCAGGTTTCCGCGGCCGAAGCACCGAGGGCTCCCATGCTGCACCGAGGCCGAGCAGCAGGCGGTGAAGCTGGGGCAGTTCCTGCCTCCCCATCCTCTGTGCTGGCATTGGTGCCTGCATGCAGGAACGTGCCCCAGACTGCAGCACCCACACCGCCTCCGCTGGACGTGGGACGCTCAGAACATCCCTCTGCAAGCACTGCGTGTCTGCTGCCATGCTGCCCTGAGGCTCTGCGCTGCTGATGTGTCCGGACACACGTGAGTCCCCTAACGAACATCTGGTGACATGGCCCAGACCTTCATGTGCATCTCTGGAAGGTGAAGCTGACGGGCACTGCTCAGTTGTCTGTATATTTTGAGTCCTATTAAATAACCCATTTTGGCTGAACCTCTTTTCTATTAAAGAGTGCCACTCCATGCTTCATCTTCTCCATTAACTTCCCTTTACTGTAAGAAAGCTGCACCACTCAGTGCCCCTTTCCTCGCTCCCATGTTCTGAAAAAGTGTTGTGATTTCTATTTAACAATAAAAATTACTCTTGCAGTAATTAAACGTATTGGGTTTGAAAAGAAATAAGAACACTGCAGTGATGGAGCAGAGCTGGGCTAGGAGGTGGCCAGTTGGCATTCTGCTGAGCATGGAGCTGGACCAGGGACAGACAGACAGACAGACAGCGCTGCAGTCCCTGCAGTGCCTCCTGCCAGGAGCATCCAGGAGAGATGCGGACTCTCTGTCCCTTCAAGAGGAATTGGTTTTTTTTCAGAATTACATTTAATTTAGGTACAGGAACTGTGAAAAGGTTGAGTCGAAACAGACATCAGCAGACCGGATGCGTGGCTTCTGGGAACGTCTGCTGCCAATGAACGTGGCTCTCCTTATCTCCTGCCTTCCCGTAATTAAGTAAGACTGAACCTCCCGTTCCCTGAGAGCTCTGCAGGGCTGCTGGATGGAAAGTGCTTGAATTCAGACTCATTTCTCTGGCTTAATTCCCTGAAGCAAGGTCACTGCAAGGCTGGGCGCCTCTCCATCCAAAAACCTTCCCGCAGTGCTGAAGGATTGATGCTTCATGTGCACGGAGCTGCTCCAGGGCTCCTGCATGAAAACAATGGGGTCAAGGCACAGGGCAGGGTTCCCACACATCATTAGGGAGCGTTTCCTTCCTAACTCAGGACCGTCAGCATTGTGGTCAGAGGGATTGGATCCTGCAGGGGTTTCCAGCCCATCACCTTCATCCTGGCACTTAGGAAGCTGACACATTTTGCTGCTTTCAGGACAAATCCCTGCAATGCCACGGTCCTTGGGCAGTGGGGTTGCTGCGGTTCTGGAGGCGGGAGGCAGGGGTACCAACCCAGTGAGATGCCCAGGCTTCATTTAACCAGATCAGGCGGCTCGGTTTCTTACCAGCACGCTGCCAGTTGTGTACTAGCTCCTCTGTGGTGGATTAAGAGACTACAGCTTGCACCAGCCTTTACCAGGGGAAACCCGAGGCTTGCTTTTGCAGCCTCCCTCGTACAACTTTGTGCTTACAGCCCAATGCAAGCACAGAAGGTTTGGTCCAAGCTCAGCACAAAGTCCTTCGGGCCCACAGGTTGGTATTTTTCCCCTTTCTCTCCATATCATGAGCTCTGGGTCTTGGTACAACATGGTTGTTGTGCCAGCACCACATGTTGCCAGCACCTGAGAAGGGCTTGTTCACAAAGTGCTGCAAGTGGGGCTCATGCACTGCCCTGAACCCACCAGCAGACAAGCCAGAGAATTTCTGCACCTCACATGTGATGCCTGCTGAAGCTGAGGTGTGGATTAGGAATTTCTTTTTAACTTCACTCCGGTGCTCGAATGCAACATGCTGCAATTTTTAGCCTCTGGATTTCTGCTCTTGGCTCTTCTAAGGCTTCCTGCTGTGCCAGTGGTTGCATAGGGTGTAACCAGGGGTGGACACAGGGGAATTAATTTGCCTTCTGGTGAGTGCATAGCTCTCTGATGGGGAAGCAGCAGCTCCCAGGGACTGTCTCAGCAAGGAAAGGCTGTAACTTGGGCCTGGGGCATCGTGAACCTAAACCAGGAGCCCCCAGTCCTGCAGTCAACCTGAGCCCTTAGACCCCAAATGTGTCCTGAGGAGAGGTGAGGAGCCACAGCCCCATAGGGAGCACAGCTCCTCCCCACCCAGCTGACCCTTCTAGACAACAGTGCTGTAATTATCTGGAGACAAGGAAAAACACATGCTCTAATTAAACTCAATCCATCTCCTAAGCAGCAGTTTCACACTTGATATCCAGAGGCAAAATGATCCAAGGGACGAGAGGAGTGTTAAATACATAAATAAGCCAAGAGTGTTTGTTGTGCTGCTTTTGCAGTAGGAAGATATTTTGGTATTTGTCACTGAATCAACACATCATAGGGGAGCAGAGCAGCAGCATCAGGGCTGAGCAGAGCAAATGGGACATACAGCAGGAAGGACACAGGCACAAACGGAGACCTTGACCCCACACAGGGGTTGCACTGCAGAACCAGTCATCTTCGTTTTACAGTGCTGTCATTGAGTGCTTCTGCTGCTGCCGTGCCTCCTGCACCCAAGGGCTGCTCCCATCCCGGGGCCACGCGCTGCATTTTGCTGTGGGGAGGCCCACGGAGCTGCTCCTGAGGGACCCCGTGCCAAACGCACCACTGCTGGCAGTGCAAACGGAAACAAAGTGTCCCGGCACACAGACTGCACAGAGGCCGTCAAAACCACGGGTCAGGTTGGTGAGCAGCTGGTAAAGGCCGCGGTTCCTCCATTAGCCCTTGCGGTGTCACTGGGCGCCGTGCGTGCGTCCCTGGGCTGAGCAGGAGCACAGCTCTCAGGCTGGCTGTGGGCAGGACAGGAATGGGGAAGGGGCCGAGGACGTGCCAGGGGGCCGTCACCATGCAGGACATCTCTGTGCACGTGCCGCCCTGCAGACACAGCACAGCCACCCATCCCTGCCCACTTTATGCGCGGGTGCAGGAGCTGGACTCCCTCCTATCTCCCTTCCGTGCGAGCTGTTGATGTTTTCAGCTCTGAATCACTGTTCACATCCCATCCCAACATGAGTCACTGCCGTGGGCTGGAGCAGCCAGCTGCACCCCTGGACTTTTCCAAAGCAGCCTGAGGATTTTTGGGAGCATCCTTAGCATTCCTGGGAGCATCTTGAGGATTTTGGCTTAAATCCTCAGTTCCACCTCCTTGCACTGAGTGTGATGTCAAATGCTTTTTTTTTTTTTTTTTTTTTTTTTTTTTTCCCCAAAGCCCCTTTTACACCACCAGGACACCAGGATGCAGTGAAGGGATGCGCATTAGGATCCACCCCAGCGGACCTGAATTAAAGGAGGTTAATTGTTATTGAACTGCAAATTGGTTTAAAAATACATATATACACATACATGGGGCCTCTCCCTTGGAGATGTCCAGCCCCGTGTGGACGCGGGGCTCAGCAACAGCTCTGGGTGAGACCCTGTGCCCCTCACCTGGCACTGCTCTCATCCCCAGGGCCGGATCCCTGCTCTGCAGTGCTGTGCTGCCCACCTTCAGACACGCAGCACTCAGTGACAAATGCACTGAAATAGGGAAGTGATAATGGAGCATACAGCACTTCCTAACGCCTCGCCAAAACTGCTGAAAACTCGTCAGAGGAAACTAGAAAAGGGAACTGAGGCACTTTGAAAACAACATCCAGCCTGGGGCCGAGCCCTGCAGATGAAGGGCTGCCCGGGTCCTGCAAGGCGGCCAGCCCTGAAGCCATCCCCACCCTGAGCTCCTCTGAGCGCAGATCTGTGCCAGCTGGTGGCTTGTTGCTGTCTGCCGTGGCAGAGAACTGCCAGTGACACGAAGCTGGGAGGGATGATTGCCACCACAGAAGGCTGTGCTGCCATCCTGCAAGACCTGGGCAGGCCAAGAATTGAGGGGAGAGGGACCTGATGAGGTTCAATAAGAACAGGTGTAGGTCGTTCACCGGGGGACGGACAACCCGTACAGCAGTACAGCTGGGGGGCTTAGCTGCTGGAACGAGCTCTGCAGAAAAGGACCCAGGAGTCCCAAATGACCAACAGTTGACCAACGGACCACCAATGATTGACCATGAGACAGTAGTGTGCCCTTGTGGCAGGAAGACCAATGGGACATGGGCTGCACTGCCCAGAGTGTGGCCAGCAGACGAGGGGGCTTCTCCTCCCCTCCGGTCTGTCCTGAGGAGACCACAACTGGAGCATTGGCGCAGTGCTGGGCTCCCCAGTTCAGAGCAGGCTGGGAATGGCTTGGAGAGTCCAGCGGAAGGCTGCAGAGAGGGCAGGGGCTGGAGCACCTCCTGATGGGGACGGTCTGAGGGCCTGAGGCTGTTTGCCTGGAGGAGAGAAGGCTGAGAGGGCAGCTGAACGGTGCAGACCAATATTTGGAGGGTGGGGACAAGGAGCACAGGGCTGGACTTGGTTTGGTGGTGCCCAGCATCAGAACAAAGTGCACTGGGTGCAGACCGGAGCCCAGGAATTTCACCTGAACGTGAGAAGGAATTTCAGTGCTGTGAGGGTGGCAGCGCCCTGTCACTGCTGCTCAGAGGTGGAAAGTCTCCCTCTCTGGAGAGACGCAAACCCACCTGGATGCCTGGATGCAGCATCCTCTGTGCATTCATCTCTGTGCGGAGCCGGGAGTGCTGCACAGACGGCTGGGGCAGGGGGCTGTCACCACCAGCACCAATGGATCCCGTGAGCAGCAGTGATCAATCCATTTATCTTATCCACCTCTTCCTAACAGGGCTGTTTCTCTCTTACTGTTTTGTTGTTGTTTTTTTTTTCCTTGTTCTTTTTTACACATCTCTCTAAACCCATTGGTATTCCCACACTGAGAGTTCAGGACCTGCTCAAATATGGTGGAGGAGAACAAGTGGAAACGATTTTTTGTGCCATGCATTCCCTCAGTTCAGGGAAGGCCTCGACCTTTTTTTTTCTGGTCAGTGCTGGGCACAGACCCTTCCCCCCACCTTCCTTTCTTCTCCCCCTATTTCCAAATCCTCAGCCACCTCAAACCCTCCCTGTGCCATGGGCCGCTTCCCCCCGCTGCGGAAGGGGCCGGGACACGGCACCCCGCTGCCCCACATGCAGACACAGACAGTGAGTCAGAAACAAAGAAGAAAAACCCTCGTGGGCTGCGATTCGCCCTTTCTGGTGAACTCCAGACGTCATACGCACACGGCTATAGATGGAGCTCGGGAGCCCAGGCCAGCCCAGTGCGAGCCCACGAGAGCTCCGCGATGGTGGCGGTGGCGGGGGACGCGGTGGCTGCGTGGCCGAGGACGCGTCACCGGGGCCGGCTGTAACGGGAGAGCGCCCGTGAGCCGCAAAGGGCGAGGACAGAGCGGAGGGGCCCCGTTCTCTCCCGGGGAGGAGCCCCTCGGAGCCCTCCCTGCCCTTCTCCCTCCAGCTCAGCGCCGCGAGGAACGATGAAAAAGAATAATTCGGTCAAACGGGTGAGTGGGATCGCTTCCGCTCAGGGGCAGGGTGGGCCGAGGGGGCTCCGGGCGCTGTGGGGAGGGGGCTCTG